GACGAGATCGAATGTAATAAAAATCAGACTGTCTGACATCGGGTTGATCTGTCGAACAGTAATTTGGCACGGGATGACTTGACTGATACCGCACTCCAGTGCATTACTGATGCCGTCCTAGCATCAGTTTCGACAATCATCTTTTAGTTGGAAGTTCACTGGTTTTAACTAACCGAAATCCTACTGAGAGTTTGGGATTCGGGCATTCATTTTTAGGCAAAGACGTCTGTGATTATTAATTTGCGAAAGCATTCCACTAGAGAGGTGCACGGGTACCATTTTCGTATCCGTACACGACCCGAAAATTTTTTTTCCACGCGTACCCGACCTGACAACTTTGTACCCGTACCCGACCCGTAATCGACTTATATCTAAAAATTTTCTCCTTTTTGTTTTTCGGCTGAAGATGTCAAATTATCATTACGTTTTCAAGTAATTCTTTTTTAAACCTTCATGTATGTTAGCTAAGTTCCTGCATTTTTTCACTAAAATTTTGTGGGTTTTCCATTAGAAGCTTCCGGTTTTCGGATAAATTAAAAAAAAATAGAACCCGTACCCGTAACTGCTCTGCCCGTACCCAAACTTCGGGTCGGGTTGCACATCTCTACATTCCACATTACTCTTTTTAGTAAAACATGCAATAAGTCACTACCATATTTTTAAACTACAAAGAAATTATATGGATTCTGACATCAAACGCCACCCTAGTCTCCTTTCCCTGGAAAACTTCCCAGAGTGTCATGAAAGAGATCCTCCAGGGAGTTCTAAGGGACTTTTCAGAGAATCCAAGGAGTCGCTATCCTAATCCACTTTCCGTGAACTCTGACGAGGCACATACAAGAGCATGTCGTCACTTAATCTAAAAACGAGCATCAGTTTTCGTCGACATTTGCACTTTTTATATACTTTTACAACAAAACGGTGGGTATGTTGTGCATTGTCCCTAAGAAATCCTGAGAGAGCCCGTGGAAATTATTTTTCTTTCTTCCATTCCCGAAAAATCAGGGACTGCACAGCGATTTTACAGGGAGTCATCAGTGAGTCCTTGAGGTTTTCACAGCCTTGCGGACTTTTACAGGAAAAGTAGATTAGGGCATGTATATCCCAGTTAGTAAGTGTATCTGATTATGTATCAAGAGAGGGCGCTTTCAGACTAACCTGTTTAGCTGTTAATGTGTGAGATAAAATAAATTACTTTTTCAGATAGGGTTCTAACATCGTCTTCTTTTAGGATGTGATTGGAACATCCATTCTAACATTATTTTTTCTCTTAAGCGAAGTGAATGGAAATGTTACTAGTATAATTTAGTTCTTGAATATAATCTATGACAAAGATATATGAGTTATACAATAAACTGAGAACGCCAGCAAAAATAAAATGATTCATTCAATAATTATTGATTATTGCTAAAGAGAAAATCTCGAAAAGTTCTTAGCTATGAGCTAAGAATAGTCAAGAGTAATATCTTCTTTTTGTCAGGAAGAACTCACTCAAACAATAGTTTAATCGCCTTTTTTTCAGAGAAAACGATACGGTGTAATTTGATAAATCCATCGACGTCATAGAGTGAAAATAAATACGATTTATCTTCGCAACTATAGTTCCTTACAGAAACGAAATTATTTTTAAACCTAAAAAGAGGTCTTAAAATATTATTTTATTTTCAGTTAGTATGGAGTTTTGCTTTTAAAGATCTAAATGCATTCAACTTCAAAAAAGATTAAAACATAAACTGCTTTGTTGAAAAGAATGACGCGAATCTTATTCATTCTCAACAAACGATCTATGTGTAAGAATGCATACACACCCCGATCTTTTTCAACTCCGTTGAGAAATGTGAAGTAAACGTCTTATTGAGTTCAAAAATTCATATTTAAAACAGAACAGTGAAGAAGACATTTGGTATATTTTTGCCTAGAATTCTTTGACATGTTCTTTAATAGGTTTTCTAAAAAACTTCAGTTTTCATCCATGCACATTATGACCCTACCAAAACTTTACTGAACAAGTTCAACAATTTTATCAGACATACCTGGGACCGTGTCTCAAAATGCAAATTCTTTTTCATTTCTGATTTTTTCTTCTCGAGATATGAAAAAAAATGTTCAATACCCTACTTAAAATCTCAGCTTTTGGCTTTGAAACCCTATAACTCGAAGAAAAAATCAGAAGTGAAAAAGAATTTGCATTCTGAAACATGGTCTCAGGTATGTCTGATAAAATTGTTGAACTCGTTCAGTAAAGTTTTGGTAGGGTCATAATGTGCATGGATGAAAACTGAAGTTTTCTAGAAAACCCATAAAAAAACATGTCAAAGAATTCTGAGCAAAAATACACCAAATGTCTTCTTCAATGTTTCAATGTTTCTGGTATGAATTTTTGAATTCAATCAGATGTTTACTTCACATTTCTCAACAAGGTTGTAAAAGACCTTATCATTAAAAGGGTATGAATAGGCGTGTACTATACAATCAAAAGATTTTTTATTTTATAGAAAGTGTTAGAATCAAAAAATATATGTTATCTATTTCAAGTATAAAATGTATAATAGTTTGTCAAAATATTATGAATTCTCTAATAAAAGTTCATTGGGTTTTGTTAATGCCATAAATCGAAAAGATGAGTATAGATTTTTTTTCTATTGAGTTCGTGTGAATGAATAAATGAACGCCAATAATAAATATAGTTTAAAAATAAATGATAAAAAATGATTTCTTTTTCCTTATTACACACATTGTCCATTTGTATTATACCTAGAGAAAAAACACTCTAGGAAATAAAGTAATAAATTACAAATATAGAAACCTGTTAATATATCTTTTATTGTCATCTTTCTTTCTTTTTTTTTCTTCGAAATAATAACTGTGTTCAACGAAATAATATGTAATTTGATAGGAAAAAACGATTAATAAAAATTTAATAACGGTAGATATATTTATATTTATCATAGATTTTTTTTTTCAGACATTTACTATTGCGTATATTTTGAAAAAAAATGAGGACAGATCTAAGCTTTTAAAACATCGAGAATACTCTAATTACAAAAACATGTATACTACTCTCAGGCAACATTCTTTTTTATATTGTTCAATTTTACATCATGTAATTAATAGTTTCAAAAAAAAACAAAAAAAAAACAAATGAAATCTTTTCTATTAGTAACTAGATGTTGAACGTTTTAGAAGAAAAATTTCGAGTATAATTGAAAGATAGATGTCTAATGTTATTTTAATGTTTCGAGGTTAAGAAAATACTATAAGAATTTAAATATTATTCTATCAATATACTCGCTATATAAATTTATACAAAGTCTTTTGTTTGTCCGTAGAGTAGAGTTTCATTTTTTATTTTAGATGATTGTCAATATATCATCTTTTTTTTTTCTTTTTTCTCATTAACATCATTAGCGCAAAGTAACAATTATCTAGGTATAAAATCGGTTACATAAGTTTAAAAAAAAGAGAATAAATGCCGTAATCAAGAATTATATCCATTATTTTACATTAGAAAAAAAAAAAAAAAAAAAGGAAAAAAAAATGTTGTGTAGTTACAATTTTGTAAAGAACAAGGATAAAAGAAATTAGAGTTTATGTCCTAAGATAGAAGTATAAAAAACGACATTTGTTTTTCTATTTTAAATTTTGTTGTAAATCAACGAATATATTGTCGAATTGTTCATGTTTAAAGTAAGATAATTATCGAGAGACCCGTTTTTTTTTATCTTTGATCGTTGAATCTAACAGATGTAAATGAACGAGATGCATATTTTACAAAAAATATATATACATATTTTGAAAAAAAATTCATTATCATTCTAGATTCTTTTCTAAGACATTCAGATTTACATATCATACTGTTTTTGTCAAAAAACAACAACAACAAGATATTGTACAGCTTAGTGTGAGTTCCCAGGAGGAATTATGCGAACTAATGAATCTTTGTTCTACAAATATATCAGTAAAGAAAATTTTTATGTTTTTTTATTATCTTCACATACTTAATGAATCATTCACGGCTATACTATAGCTTAAAAAATGCTAATTAATTATGAAGAATTATTGTTTTGTCACAGATAAATGTATATACTTTATGGATGACACTTATTTGTCTATCTTGTTTATAAACCATGAATATTGTTGACAAAGAAAAGATTTTGTAATTTCGATTAACATAGTAAAAGTCAATAGTTTAATTGATGCTTTTAAATAAAAAACATGTGGCAGTCATAATTCTATATAGTACCGTAAGGTTTATTTTTCGCTTCTGTTCTTCTAATATTTCATTTTATTCTTTCATTCTACTTTCTTTGATTGAAGTCTCTCAAACTCTTTTCTTTTCTTCTAGAAATATAGACATATAAAGAATAATCATTATAATATAAAATAGATTCTAGACTGTATACTAGTTATGTTTACTGACAGTTATATATATTTACTTACATATCGAAAAAAAAAAAACACAAAATAAAAATGTTGTTACTAACTAAAAAAATAAAAAATAAACATCAGTATGTAATCTACAAACAGAAATTCGTCTGTTTATATAGATTTATAAGTGTATGACGATGTTGTTAAAGATCATAAGAGATGATAGAAGAAAAAAAATGATCAATTGATTTTTTGTATATGAGGTATAAACATTTGATACTAGAGTTAAGTAGTGAACCTTTTGTTTGAAATTTTATCTACCTTTTTTTGTTTTTGTTTGTTTTATTTTTTGATCAAGTATTTTTTTTCTTTAAGAAATAGACAAAACAAGATTTCTAATAAAATGATGTTACTTAGTTTTGTAAAAATTTATATTGTGATGTTGATGTTATTTATCCTTGTTTATATCAACAAGTTGATAAAGTTCTTTATATGGAAGAGTAAAACTCTTTTAGTTACATTTAGACACGTTGATTGTTATCAAAAAATTATTTTTTGTGTCCGAGGCCACTGATTAGTGCCCGATCCGGGCACAAATAAATGTTTTCACAATTTTGTGCCCGGAAAAAGAAATGTGCCCGTCAATTGCATTGATTAGTGTCCGGTTTACGGTTTTTAATGGAAATTTTAAGAAACAAGAGTTTTGGCACTTTATGTGTATTTGATGTTAAAACAATGAACTCATTCTCATCTTTTATTAAACAATGCATTTTTTATGTTTGTTCTGTACGTTTAATAGATACATTTTGACCATTTATATACGAATAGAAATCAGATCTGTTTAAAAATCTGTCAGCAAAGATACACTATCACTACACTACAGTATAGATGTTAATGTTGTTTTTACTTCAGTCGAATTGTAAACAAAGTTCCTTATACAACATGGACATTTGTACGATTGAATCTATTTATATACATTCTTATTATTTTCACAAGACAATCGTGAAAAAACCGGGCACAAAACAGTGATTTTCTTCGCTTTCTATTTTAAAAACGAACCGGACACAAATCGATAAAAAAACTAGGCACATTTCTTTTTCCGGGCACAAAAGCAACCCGGACCGGGCATTAATCAGTAGCATCGGGCACGAAATAAATGAGAAAGTCGGACACAAAAAAATTCTTACCCATTCTTGTTGTCATAAATCATATTTCATTGTCTACTTTAATCTTAATTGGATATCGTACACGTATGACGACTTTCTCCTCGTTATAGATATTCTGATTAATAAATTTAAAAAAACCAAATATCTTCATAAACGAACATAGTGAACTGAGATCTATAGAATCGATAGATAAAATAAAATTTTGATGTTAATATTTTAAGGAATAATCGTGAACAAGATCACATTGAATTTATCTGTTTTCCTATTTATTCTATGCGTTGATATTTTTGATGATGTCTCTTTTCAACAATATTCGCAAATAAAAAGCATACGATAAACAAGTGTATAGAAAGATAACGCTTGTGTATCATCATAACAAAGAAAAACATACAGAATTTTCAAAAGAAAGTCTATCTCATTACACTCTATACACACATTATACCATCTAATTCTATTTCTAGAATTAATTCTATCAGTATTATGAAAAACACAATTTATTTTATATTTTATTATTTGTAATCTATACAGAATTTAAAAATTATGGTTAAATCATCATCATTAACATACGATAGAAGTACTCTTCAAACGTTTATTGAATTAACAAAAAAAAACAATTCTTCTTTTTTATCAATCTCTCATGCCTATGATACAACCAATACTTCATTACTCTATCATACTGATAAACATAAATATCCTATATTACAACAACTAACTATTTATATAACATTTGTATTATCGGTTATTGGACTAGTTGGTAATGCTTGCACAATTATTGTATTAAATCAACGATCAATGAGAAAATGGTATGTACATATAATGAGAAAAATAGAATAAAATAATTATTTATTAATAGAAAATAATATTTGAATAAATAATTTTAATTTAATTAAATTATAAAATTCTAATAAAGATGTAAAATTTATTCTAACTATTGTTATTTTATTTTTGTTTTATTTTAGGCGTTCATCTACATTACTCACTGCTTTAGCTATAGTCGATTTTGTCTATTTATTAATTATATTTTTAGCTTTAATTGATAATTTAACAAATAATATCATCGGTTTAAATCGTTATTTAATGTTATGTCAAGTAACAGTTTATATTACTCATATTTGCTCATTTTTATCTGCCAATTATACACTCTCATTTACTTTTCAACGTTTTATCGCTGTTTGGTTTCCATTACATTCACAATCAATTATATCATATCGTTCGTCAATAACAAATATAATCGTTTTAATTATTATTGCTTGTGGATTTTATTCATTTTCATTTTTATTTACAAATATTGAAGATGGTCAATGTAAAGAAGATGATAAATTTCCCGCTTTGTTTCCACTTTTAATTGTCGATGTTTGTTTAACATTTGTTGTACCATTTACATTTATTCTTTTATCTAATTGTGCCATTGTTTATAGTTTACGCACAAGAAAAATGACATCAAGATTGTTGGGAATTGGTAAGACGAATAGTGTTATTATAGAAATTGAGTGCTGAGATAAATCTTCTGAGAGGCTAAAAAGTGAACGTGTTCATCATACAACATAAATAGCCAAGTCACAGATTTACACTTTCTTTTTCACCTATTCGATCATAGCATCTTGTTTAATCTTCACTAGGCTGCTTTACTCGTAAATGGATAAGAAAAAAGATCGAACACGGATGTGCGTTTTCTTAAAAAAGCTGAAATTAAAACAAACATGAAGATTTTACGCAATCATTTTCGACAATAATGTGGCATTTCACTTTTTCACAGAAGTTATGAGCACATGGCATTGTTCCATTTTAATGGGTACGCAGGATTGCCCACCGAGGAGGAGAAATCATTGACTGTAGTGACTAAAAAACGGCGCTGCAGTTAATGGTTTCTCCTTCTCAGTTGGCAACCCGGCGGGTACGACAGAATCCAAAAAGATTTGCTATTCAATTCTCTACAAAAACCTATAGAAAGTTTGATAAAAATGTTTAATGGTAAAAACATACAGAAAAAATCTAGCAAAACACCAATAAGATAAACTTTTTAAATTTAAAACCAACTTTTTGAAATTTACGAATTGAACGTCTAAGATATTAAACAGATTCATCAGCCTATTGTAGGCCTTAAAAAGCTTTATCTTTTGACATAAAAAAAGTTTTTACCCAGAGAGAGATTCTTGTAAAAAAATTTCTTTCTTTTCTAGGTTCTATAATAAAATCAACGTTTTCGTTTCCGTTTCCTAGTGCTTTTGAGTAAAACGCATATGAGTCGGTCAAAATTTTATGTTTCGAGCATAGGTTATTTTTATTTTTCACCAGAAATGATTACTCTCTTATAACCATGTATTAAAATTAAAATTAAAAATTTTCATTAGTAGTTTGAGAATGAACGAACGAGGGCAAAAAAACGATTTTTTAAGATGTATCCTAGATGAAACTTATAATTTACTAAATTTGTTCAAATGATTATTTTTCCAGGTCTACAAGTAGAATCACACTTGAAAGTACTCTGATTCATTTTGATGACTCGCTAAATAATTGAAAGAAATTTAAACTTTCTCCAAAATAAATTTAAGAAGTTTGCCTTATTGGTTTTTTGTACCATTAAACATTTTTATCAAATTTCTTACAGATTTTTGTAGAGAATTGAATGGCAACTCTTTTTGAAAAGAAAAAGAGATGTGAGAATAATGGAAAATACTAATAATATCATTATCTCTACCACACTTGTTAATATGTGAATTTTGCTAAAAGGATCAGAGTTATAATCGATAGTGGTGAACGGGCAAGTCGTTCCGTTCCGGTAAGACTTTTTAGAATGGTCGCCCAAAAAAAAGTGTCATTTTGAACTGTTTTTGAATAAAATTAGTTTTTCACTATAAAAAAATAGAAAATTGACAACGGCCGTTCCGTTCGGATAGAAAATTTTTAAAACGATACCATTTCCGTTCTAAGAATTTTGGAACGACTACATCTCTGATTTGAAATTTAAAATTCTTCAAACTTTCTCAGTAATTAATATTCAATTTGAAATGTTTCATTTAAAGTCACTTTTAAAGTATATTTCAGATTCATTTATTCAGATTCATTAAAAAAAGAAATTAAATTATAGTTTGTACTCTAGATACGACTAACATCCTTTGTTTTCTTGTAGGCACGTCTGTATCTTCAACATCTCGTCCACATTATTCACCCGGTCCAACAAAATCGTCTTTACTACCTGAAATTTATCATGAAAAACGTAAATTATTTCAACTTCGTTCAGCAACATCATCGTTAAAATACGTTAATGACTCGTCTCCTATTATAGGACAACAACGTAACGGTGTTGGAACCTATTTAGTATCTAATAACAGCAATAATAGTACACCAACTACTACTAATAATAGTAACACTCCAACACCGACTCATTATCGTTTTTCCCTGAGACAATCGAATGATATTCCTGGCACATCATCATTAAGACAAACTATATCACAAAAAACAACAAAAATGTTAGTCATATGTTCGACAACATTTCTCGTTTTTAATTCACCGTATTGTGCAATATTACTCTATTCATTTTTATCAAAACATGTACTATCTACAGCATTAGATATATTTCGTCATTTTTATTTCATGTCATTTTGTATGAATTTTTTTCTCTATTCTCTATGTGGTAATCGTTTTAGACATGAACTAATATTATTATTTAAACGTTTTATTCGTAGATGTTGTACAAAACAAATTGCTCATAAATGGTTTACCAAACATGGTGTATCATTTTTAAATACGCCATCGTCTTATTCCGTATCGAGACAACTTTAATGCTCTTTCCTATAGATTGATTTTTAATTTTCTTTTTTGTATAGCTTTTTATTCATAGAATACAATTCTTGCTCGTTTTATAGCATCATTGTATTTTAAAATTTTTCAATTCAATTTCTTCAAAAATTTTTTTTTATAAATATGTATAATAAAAGCGACAAATTTTCTATTCCTAAAATAGACAACAAATTGTTTCACCATTTTAGAATTTCAATAATCGATGTACCCGACGTGTATATCGTTTAATTTCTTTCTTTTTTTAAATTTTGTCGATTAAATTGTTTTTTATATGTTTTGGATGAAGATAGATGCAGACTTACGGTTTTCACTATTTGAAAGAGGAGACTTGATTACGCCTTTTCAAAACCAAAGTAATTGTCAAAATGATTTTTAAAGAACATTTTCTAGAAGATCTTTAGAAAACCAAATCATAGCATAAAAAGTTGAAATATAAAATCTAGCGATATACCAGAGTATTCTCTCAAAAATAGGAATTCTCTCACCTCTTCATTTCCCCTCATCTAGGCGTGTCATCGAATTTCCTAAGAGTCCCGCGCAATCGGTTGCAGATGACTTTTGACAAGCACAAAAATAAATGAAAAAACATACGTTATCGACCATCCTGAATCTTGTGACAATGTTTATCTTCAGAAAAAATTCCAGAAAGCTACTGGAAACATGTATCCAGTGAAATAATCCCAAAACATGTACTATTTGGAAAATTAAAACATCCAATTAAAAAAAATCCAAAATTAAAACATCCATAACTCAACCAAAAGTGATCCAGACTAATTCAGAATATCAACGATATTCTCCTATTTGACTCACACTGTATCATGAAGGTCAGTAGACGTTTGCGTTCATAACCGTTGATTCCTTCCGTCTCGTAGAAACCTCCCGTCTAGGAAAGCCTTTTTTGGTTTACAGAGAAAAACTTTCTGTGATAATAATAGACATTTACACAGTGTAGCACAGTGACGGAAAAAACTTTCAGCTCTTAATTCACTGTTTTGACTAAGTTATGGAATATATAGTATTAGTAGATGCCTTTGCACAGGCAAACAAAACAAGTTCATAACTTTGAAAGAAGTACTATGAGCCCAAATCCTTTTAGGACTTTTACTAGCTCAGCACATAAATAATGGGAAACAAAGTGTTACATCTGGGGGAGGTTGCCTCATTAGCTGACGAACTTTATGTTAAGTTCAGATTTTTAAATGTGTAAATAATTTTTGTATCACTAGAGCAAGTATAAATCAACGTATCATTTTTTTCTTCTAAAGAACCAACACATACCCCAGTCTTCGTTATCGAATGGCAAAAATTAGATGTCTCTATCTCCTTTCTTTCAATCGTTATTCAGAAAACGGCAAGATACTTCTATTTTGAAACGGAAAGTACTAAAAGAAGTTTAATTTTTGAATAAAGCATTGTTTAAACTTGTGTAATGTCAAGAGTACTCAACGTAGTCAACTAATCGTATATTATACTGACATGCAAAAGTTTGGAATATGACTGCGAATCTGTAAAAAAAAATCGAAAGACGAATAAAATGTGATTTAGATATCCATTTTTTTATACGAATGCTCCCGTCCGCTTTTGCGTTAGTGTTAAAATTTTGTTTTATATATCTGTCTTTCGGTAATAATAAAAGCATAAATATAGTACAAGAAGGAATGGATAAAAAAAAAACTCGTCAAAGTACAAAAAAAAAAACAGTAGACTACAATAACGAGAATATCAGGAAACTTTTTAAAAAGACAGCCGAGATGTCAAGTTTTACAAAGAGAAATAAAACACACAAAATAAAATTTAAAAGGACAACAACGAATCTGTGGAATGAAGAAACGAAAAATGAACAAGACTAAATGTTAAATGCTATAAGTTTTCATGTTACACATGACACATCTTTATAAAAAAAACAGAAAAAGATACATCCTATGCGTATGTCTAAGAACAGCAGTTTTTGTTTTTATTTTGACTTCTCTAGCTGAAATAATAACATAACAAAAATCTAAATATAAAACTTGATGACATGAATCTTTTCTTCTCAAATCGTTTATAATAATGTACAAAAAGAAAAAGTAATAAAAAAACAATCACGAACAATGACTATGAGAATGGTAAGAATAATTATTTGGTATTTCCAAAGGTTCTTATTTAATAATTTTCATAGTCAATGGACTTGAAAAATTCTTCTAAATAATAATATTTTTTTGTTTTGACCATATTTGATGTTCACATATTTCGACCGCCTAAAAATAAATAAAAAAGAATGTAAATCAATAATGTATACGATGATGTTACTGTATTAAAATAAGAAAATATCGCTGCAGAAAAAAACAGAACAAAATGACATTTTCACTGTTTTCATCATGCTTTGAACACAACATATGCCTGTTTGTTAAGATTTTTCGTTAATTCTTACATTGCATAATTCTGCATTTTGTCTACTTGTACACCAATAATTAATTCCAAAGATACATTTGGCATGAGATTTCTTTATTGTTGATAATGATAATAATTCAATATCTGTTGATTTTGTTGTCATTTTCCATGGTTGATTTTGTTCAGATTTTTGACATATTTGCAAGTTTTGACAAACAATTTTGGCATCAATATCTTGTGAAACCATTTGAACAAGATATGGTCCATATTCATCAACAAATGATTTACTAGAAAAAAAATTTAGTTTTTATAAATAAATAAAAGATGAATAAAATAAAATAAAAATAAAGATAAAATTTTGATGTAGATTATAATGAATAATTTAAATATACATACCATTCTTGTCTTAAATCAAATGCGGAAAATAGTGTACATGTATTTTCAAGCGCTTGTATAACTTTGCCCTCGGTTTTATTTTCAACAATAATCTTTTTCAATCGACTAACAACAAATGTACAAATTGTACATGTAAATGGACTCGTTTGATGTGTTGAGGCAGGAATCTGAATGTGAACATATTGATGATTATCATGGGAAGATGTTGATGAGGGTTTTTCTGATATGATTGTTGCTGATTCTTTATCTACAATAACTTGACATAGACCCATATAGCGACATACTATTTGTGGATCAGCTAATTCTTCAACTAATTTAGCTAATATTGGACCATAATTTTTAATAAATTGATCACACTGACCACGTTCTTTAGCTAAAAATAGAATAAAATGAAAATATGGATAAAAAGGACCATATCTCGCTATTATGTTCAATAAATTCAAATTCAGATCACAAACCTGGTAGTATAGAACAGACTTGTTCTAATGCTGATTCGATGGCTGCTTCGGATTTATTATTTTTTAATATAGCATCCAAATACGATACAACATAATGGCATATTATACACTGAGGCTCAGCATCAACATTTTTATCGATTACTTGTTTAAGATCGTAGGATGATAGATGAGGATGATGTATTGGCGTTTGTACTCGTGTTAATGGAACATGAACAACACCTGCTGGTGTTTTAATGCCAGGTGACAATTCGATCATTGGTGTTTGACATATTTTTAATTCTTTACAAAAATTATTACCCATATCTAATTTGAGTGCGTGTGATACGATTTGAGGTGTATACAATGCAAGTAATGTTTCACATTCCATACGTTTATCAACCACTAAAATCAAAAACAAACGAAAACTGATAATAATAATTTAAAAATGATGTTAGACACACTAAAAAAGATAATGAAAATTTCTTTCCAATAGTACAACGAATAGTTCTATTATTATCTAATTTTGTGAAACTCCTCTCGGTAACTCTAGAGTAGAGAAGAATTGAAGTTATACACTCGACATCCCATGATTTTCTACCCCTCCATCTCCTAGTAGGTGTAGTATCCGTCTTAAATTATAATTAAATGAAAATGTTACCAACAACCGAATAATCAAGGTTACAAAATAAATCAGAGTTGAATCATTGCGCCGAAATTTATTTTTTTATGCGGCATACTCACTTAAACTATTAAATGAAGGATATAGGAGTTTTACAATAGGGACTATCCTCACAAGGTTTCTTTTATGTTCATATCATTCGATATGCAAGTTAAAATACGACTTTTATTTTACCTAAATGTGTACAAACAGTTTGTAACGCTTTTTGAACTGCTGTTTCACTTGAATCACGTTGTATGGCAAAATGTAAATATGTTGAAAAATAATCACATATTCCACATGATGATAGTGATGCTTTTGTTAAATGTTCAGTACTTAAACGTTGACTCAATTCTTTTGTACATATTCTCAATTTTTGACATACACTTTTTGGATCAAATTCTTGTGCCAATACACTCAAAATTGCTGGTGAATAATTTTCAATTAATAATAAACATTCTTGTTTTAATGATGATGGCATTTCTTGACATATTCGATCTAGAGATTGTTCAATTTGTTGTTCTGTTGATTTTTTTGTAATGTATGATTTTAATAAATTCATAACAAATTCACACATAATACACGTCTGATTTGAATTATCACCAACGGTAGAAACTAAAATATTAATAACAAACAAATTAGATGAAAACTTTTTTTTTACAAAAAAATAATAAAGTTACATACTTAGATTAACTGATGCTTTTGGTAAATAGTCTTCTATTAAATTCATTTTTTCTCCAAATTGAGATACACTTCCTAAAACTTCTTTACATGCTTGTGCAAATGGACCCATTTTATCGCATAGATGTGTATTTGAAAGTGGAATATCAATGTGGGATGGAACTACGTTAATAATATCGGTTAATGTTTCTTCTTCGGTTTTATTTGGACAAAATCCTGCTTTTGTACATGCGTGTCTTGGTTTGATATAATCTAAACATTTATCAAATTGTTCTTCACGTTTTTCAAAATATAATTTACAACGACGTTTTACTGGACAATAATCACATAAAGATGTCAGAGTTTCCGTTAATTCGTGTGTTAATTCTTTAGCATGAGCTATTTTACATTTGATATGTTTAACACAACATCCACATTTGTCGTTAGAACATTCATCTAAATAACAAGAAATATATCAATGGACAAGTTACTAAATTTATCTTTAGTCTTTTTCTAATATTTTAATTCACTTACTTAAAAATTTTGCTGTAAAAATATTTTTTTCACCAAGTTCAACTAAATCTTTGATATTTAAATTAATTTTTGTTGTTTGTACTTCTTTCATATTTCCACGTGCGACTTGTCGGCAGATAGAATTAAATGGTCCTAATTTTGAACAAATTTCATCTTCAATTCGTGATTGAAATTGTTTTTCATATTCATCAAATGATCGATCTTGTTGGTATTCATTATCATTGCTTATCATTGTACAAAATCCCATATGTTGACATGTTTCTTTTGGATCAAACATTTGCACCTGTTAATAAAAGAAAAGTGAAGAATTGTAAATATCATTATTTTTACTTTTTATCTAACTTACCCATTCTTTTGCTCGATTCGATTGTTCTTTGACAAAATTTTGACATTGTTTATCTGCAAATCGTTGACATAAATCATCAAAATAAGATGTTAAACGATCGATTGTACGGATAAAACAATCTTTTCGATTTTGTAAACGAGATGTACATTGTTCACATCTATCTCCCGTAACCGTTACACTTGATGTTGGACATAGACGAGTTGCTTGACACCATTGTTCTGGATCAATTTTATCCAAATAATCTTTAACATAGTCAAAAGTTCTAGTATAAAAATCGCGGCATTCATCTTTCACCGGACACCAATCGCAAGTGTGCAATAGACTAGAACGAACTGTTTCCTACAAGAAAAAGAGAAAAATAGTTAAAATATGTTCTATAAATTCATATCACATCGTGATTCGTGATTATACGAAGCAGTGACCAGTTTGTTAAAAAAGCCTCTTCTATCAAATTTGAACAACTAAGAATTTTTTACAAAAAGATTCTTATCAAATCTAAATTGATCTAACAATGAAAAATATGCAACCTAGTAACCATGATTCAAGTATTTTATGTTTGTTTTGATATTTCTGTTTTGTCGTTCTTCAGTTCTCTCTTAATGATTACATCCGCTCCGCTTTCTTCTCATTTGGGTGTATCATGTGATTCTTGTGCTAAAACAAATTTTCTTGATCGTCGATATAAATGTTTAGTATGTACAAACTATGATTTATGTGGTCATTGTTACGATAGCAAACTCATAACTCTTGAACACCAACAAACTCATCCAATACAACTTATTCTAACAAGAGAGAATTATGCACTCTATTTTGACGAAGATGTAAGTAAACACCAACAGCTATATGAATCTTATACTTGTCCGTATTGTGGTCAAAATGGATTTATTTTACATAAATTAATCATTCATTTACAAGACCATTCAGAGATTAAGCCTGTTGTGTGTCCCGTATGTCAAATAATGCAACAGTCTACACCGATAAGAGAACATCTTGAACGAACACATCAGAACAAACGAAAACAACAGACTACTAGGAGAAGAACTGTTCAAAAACAGAAAAGAACAGGATTAGAATTAACAACAGCGTCGGGTAAGATCAAATTGTATCAATATGAAACTCGAATTGATACAATTTTAATTTAATTTAATTTTATAATCGCTTTTCAGTCATTAGAGACTCAAACAGAACTCATTTCTAGAAGAATCAAAAGAAGTTGTGTTGCTTGTCGTACCTTAACTCAGTCTTTCTCGAAGGAAAGCATCTAACGATATCCTTGAGAAAGGCCGAAATCGATCATAATATCTTCTTTCGATTCTTCCAGAAATGAGTTCTGTTTGAGTCTCTAGTAACTGAAAAGCGATTATAAAATTAAATTAAATTAAGATCAAATCGACTGCAGAGAACAAGTCTAGAAGTTCTATACACCAGAAAATATGAAAGTATTGATGTCATGCTCAGTTCAGATCCATTCAATTGATTACAAATATTCTCTTCGCTTTAGATGTTGTATCCGATTTACAAGATATGCCTACGTCATCCGCACAGGATATCATATTTACTCATTTGGTGACAGATAACAGTCTTAAATATGAGCAACAAATCGAAATAAAATCAGCATTTCTGGAACCAAAACGAATGGGAACTGCAATTAATGCCGGCACAACAATAAGAACGAAATTTGTAGCGGTATTACCGACTAAAAGTACTCCGTTTATGCCATTTGATTATGATCTATACTATTTTCAACAACAGAAGAAAAAAACTATTTCCAATAATGAAAAATCACTATTGAGAAAATTGATTAAAGAAAATGAAACGTTAACACTAAAAATAGTCTTAGACGCATCTAAAACCCAGTTTGTGCAAAATGTCGTGCTGAACACTTTGAATAATGAGAAGAACTGATAATGCCGTTTGTTCAATCTAGCTACAACTGTTAGTATCAGCAGTTATTTACTATCTCACAATCACTTACTATTGCTTGTGTCCAAAAATCTTTTGTGGCTTGTACAACATCTTTACATCCTTGACATACGTCTATATTTAATCGTTTGTGTTCAGCTAATTTTTCGTCAACATCTTGACGAATATAATAAGTATTCTTTGTTAATAGGGCTAAATATACTTTTTCATATTCCATAGAATTGACACTACCAATAATATGTTTACATAGTGGTGCTAACTGACCATATCGTAGACATACTTCATTTTGAATATATGTTTCTAAACAAGAATAATTTTAACATTAGACACAAAATCTTATAGAAATTGATAAATAAGACAACATTATAGATACTCAAGCTTTTATTTAACTTTTTATACACACCTAATCGTTCATTTAACGAATCGAGTTGTGAATATTGAGTGTGTACTAGCATTTCTGAATGTGAATTCAATAGCGATGAATGATCAGCAGAACAAAATCCAAGATGTTGACATATTTGTTGCGGTTCTATTTTTTCAATTTCATTCAGTGAACGTTGTTGTTCACGTGTTACTGAATTTTTACAATTTTTATTCCACGGTATATTGTCACACGAAATATGATTGATCAATAATTTTAAACGATTTGTACGTTGTTGAATTCGATCAACACAACACTCACATTTATCAGCAGATTTACACTACAATGAAGGGATGAATAGTAATTTAAACTAATATTTTTCTTAGATTTACCTTTTGTTCATCATTTTCTGTTTTGACAATGATTAATTCTGATTTCATTGCTATTGGCGTATTTATTTGTGATGAACATAAACCAATTCGTTTACAAAAATTTTCTGAGTCAGATTGATCAACTTTTGTTCTCATACGATCGCAGACACGATTAAACCAATTTGTACATTGTGTTTTAGATGAACTCCAATCACATGTTGCTAATAAACCACTACGTAATGTTTCCTAAAGAAGACAACATCGTTTAAATTTTTGTTACAATTACGATGAACTGAAGTCAAAACTGCACAATCGATTCGTCAATGTTTTCTCAGTCATATCAGTTCTACGTCAGATATCATGAATTAGGCTTGTATAATTGAATTTTTAACTTGTGAAAGTTAGCGTATCTTCTATAGACCTTGATTTAACATCGAATGCGTATAAAAAAAATATGAAATATCATATAAAACTTACAATTTGTTTGAGATTATATGTTTTCTTTTTCTTGTATAATTTGACACAACAATCACATTTATCATTACAATCTTTCAAATCTTCAACATTTGGTTTACATTCTTTATCATTATTCTCCTCATCGAATTCACACAATTCTGATCCTTCCAGTTGACCATTTCGATTCAATATTGATTTGAACAATGCCTCCATTTCACTCTTTTTCTCATCAAATGACACTAATTGTTTACACAATAACTGAAATGATTCATCGCCTTTTGAACAAATTTCATCTTTTAAATAGTTTTCTAATTGTCTTTCTAAATGTTTTGATGTTAATGTTTTTGGACAATATTCTCGTTTTAGACACCATTCGTTTGGATTTATTTTTTCAATTTTCTCGTTAAGAGTTAACATTGAACGATCAATTACACTTTGACAATCTTTGTCCCATGGAGTATAATCACATAACGATTTTAAATTGTCGGATATTTTGTCAACAGATGATAATAAAAATTTACGCTTGGATTCTAGTTGATCTTGACAATGGGGACATCGATCATGAATCATTTCGATTCCAAGCTATAAAAAAAATAAATAAATAGTTACACACAGAGAATAACTTTTAAGAGAAAATCTTACTTGGCCAGTTGGACAAAATCTTAATGTTTGACAAATTCTTTTTGAATCCTAAAATGAAAAAATTAATAAAAAATCACAATTTAAATGACTCAGTCTTCAAATAACTAACTGTTAGCAAAAAAAAGAATAGAAACACTAGTCATTCAATTTAATTATTTGACACTAGATTCAACGATAAACATTTTGAACAGTTTTTTTTGTTATTTTTATTTATTGTCAAGAAAAAGCAGTGGTATTCTAGTTAGTTAATATAATTAACGTTATCTGCTTTAGGTGTACCACTTTAAGTGACTTTTTCAAAGGCGTTCCCACTTATAAATGGCCTTCTCCCCTTGTCTGCAACTCAATAGTTTGAGATGTCATTCGCTTTTTTTCAAATCTTCAGTTTTAGTTAGTTATTAAAATGACACCATTGTACAAATAATAGATGTGTCTGTGACAGGGATGCCATCTTTTTCGCTCCTTCCATTTTCCTTACTGGTCTTGATTGATTCATTTAGATATGATTTAATATTCATTTAGAAAACAATATTTAGATCGTTTGTTTTTTTTCTGTTGTCTCCCTTTTTTCGGTATTTTACCAAGAATGAACAGAAGATGTGGGAAACTTTTTACAGTATTCCCCTTACAAACGCGTTGGAAAACAGAAAAAATGCTTTCCGCTTTTCGAATATTCCTAAAGTGATAATCCTGATCTACGATAATTGGCATAGAAGATTTGGGATGGATTTGTTGCACTTGATGTTCAAAAATTTAGTTGAACATTTTCTTATCTAGTGTTAGGTTCAGTCTGTGTTGATACACATGCTGTTTTAAACCCTCTATGATCTCTTATTTGCTATAAAACATGAAAAATTTATGGCACGATATCGTATATTAACAATAAAAGAATTTGATAGACTTTTTTTTGCAATTTTAAAAATTATTGTCTGTTTATCTAGTTTTTTAGCTGACGAATAGGATATGAATGAAATCGGTAATTGTCAATTTCATTGGTATCTTTCTCTCATGAATAAATATTATTAAATAAAGCACAAAAATTAAAAATCTACTTAAAAAAACTGTGTACACCTCATATGAATTGTTCGCCCAAGCTGCATGTTTTCAGTGTTTTTCCCATACTATTTGTACTTATTTTGTAAAACGAAAATAACAACAATAACAGATTATTATCCAAAAAGATATTAGCACAATTTTAATAACTAAATATCAGCATTATTTTACTTTTTTTTTCGTGAATAATATTTGTACGACTAACTCAACTATATTCATTATTTTATTTGATAATATAGAAACTTTCAACTCAGACTAGAGTTATCAGCAGCTACACTTAGCTGATAGTATAGTTGAGTTAGTCGTACAAATATTATTCACGTTTATCAACGTTTTCTCAACAAACAATATTAGTACTTTTTTTGTAATCTTAGAACGATAGTGACATAAATTCATTTGAATTTTTTAAAATTATTCTTTAAAACATAAACATACCAAACTTGAAATATATGAATCCATTCTAGTTGAAAAATTGTCGACCATTTGACTACACTAAAACAGCAAAAAATAAATTATACAAAAAAATATTCTCATATGTTTATTTAATCAAAAACTATGCTAAATGTTCTCGCTAAATTATCCACTATTAAAGATAAGTAAATAAGTAGAGAAGGATCTGTTGATTTATTAGCAGATTATTTACAAAAAAGCTTCTAATCAAACTTTAAACATTGATTTTATCTTCTTACTTGTTCGGATACTGGTAAATGTCCACAGAATGTTTTCATACTTGATACCATTGATTGCTAGAAATAAAGCGAGAATTAAAAACAGAAAAAAGTATATATTATCATTGAAACCTTACAATAAATGATGTTGCTTTACTTTCATAAGATTCAACTTTATCCACACAACATTCACATTTATCTTTGCACTAGAATAATGAAGTACTGCCGGATAAAGTACAACTGTAATTCTTATTAAATAATTTTATTTACTGCTAAAATTGTTTGATCATTTGGACATATTCCAATTATTTGACACACTTTATGTGGATCAATATCACCGGCAAGTAATTCGAGTATTTTTGGTCCTTCTGCATTAATTAATCGTTCACACTAAATAAAATAGATTATGAAAAAATAAATAATAGTAGTTCACTCTGGTATACTATACATACTAATTTATCAAGTGATGGTAACTTTTTACAAATATCAGTTTTGATATAGTCAAGAATTTGTTCCTAAAAAGAAAGAAATACTTCATTATAGAATGATACATAATAACGCAAAGAATTTTAGCTCTATTTGTTTTTTTAGACATCAGTCAATAATCTTGTATGTTTTTTTATTTTATCCAATATTGCCAATAGCAAGCAGGTAACATTCTTCGTAATATTTCATCAAAAAAAAATTAATTTAATTATATTCTTTAAGATCTTATTCAACAACTATAGAATGACAGTTGAAACACGTCTTTTTAGAGATAATGGTAGAAGAGCAATATAGTCATTAAAACACACACACACACACACACACACACACAATACACTCAATTTTTATAGTAGCTTTCTTTTACTACCTCTGTAGCATTACTTTGCAATGCTTTCTTAATCAAATCAAATGCTAGTCTACACAGTGTACAGTTAACAGAATCCATCTAGACATATGAATGTATCAGTTATTTAGCTCTAGACAAATGACAGTAATATTGCTTACATTAACGACGTCATGTTTGAATAGAAGATCAGGTTTATATAAAAGAGCCGTTGTTTTATCACACATTTTCAATTCAACACAAATTGATTGAGGATCCTAAGAAGAAGAGAAAAAATCAAGACAATTACAAACATTTTAATCAATCGATGAGCCACCTATGAAACATACCAATGATTGAATGTATTTTAGTAAATCATTAACAGATGCATCAACTTGTTTCTCACACTAAATATGAGAAATAAAAAATGTATCAGAGAAACGTTTCATACTCATGTAAAACATACTTCGTCTTTTTGAGGTAATTGTCCACATAAATGTTTCATAAATTCTGATGCTTTTGTCTAAATAAAACGATTGAATGAGAACAAAACAAAATAAATATAGTGTCATGAGCAGTAAAGACATAAATCTCAATAAAATACAGATTAGTCAATCGATCAAACAAAAAACCAAGAAATACAAAATATCAACATGTTTCGTTTTCACAATAATACTTACAATTAATCTCTCAGAAATATGTTTACGTCGTGTAAAATCGTCAATACATCGTTTACATTTGTTTTTATCCTAAAAATTAAACGCACAGATAGACTAATACAAAGTTCACTCAAAATCACTTGTATACTTACATCATGAACAGCCAAATTATCCAAAAATGTCATTAGTTTTGGACATAAACCGAGAACTTGACAAACAACATTAGGATCCTATGAAGAAAGAAAACAAAAAACATTTTTTTCTAATGAAAATTATCGATTAAACAATGAATTATACGCACCACATCATTGATCAAAAGTTGAATAATATTCTTGCCTTCTTTGTCAATTAAAGCATCACACTAGAAATACAAAATCACATCTTTGGAAAAGTGAAATAAAAAAGTGCTTATACACTTCTTACAACATCTTTAAATACACCAAGTTTTTTACATATGTCATTTTTCAAAAAATCGATTATTTCCTCCTAAAACAAAACAAACAATATACACATATAATTCACATATACGAGCAGTCTCAAAAACAAACAGCAAATGTAAAATTTGTACACAATAGTTGAAGACAATATTTCTCAGTTTTATAATAAAAAGCAGCTTATCACACAAAAACATGATAACTAAATTAAATTTATTAAACAACGAACAATAAATTCTGTTTAATTTTTAATATAAAAAAATCTTTTCAAAAAGAATAATAAGCAATTTATTTTGTTTTTTCGACTATTAATCATTATATCACAACTCTTCTATCTCTGAAATCTACTAGCACTTTGTTCAGCAAGAGCAGTATCTTTTTCCTTTCTACCTCCGTCGTATTTGTATCTATGTAATTTTTTAATGCCGTCATAGCAAACAAACATAGTGTACAATTTATTGATGCTCTTTCGGAGTCTGAAAACTAATAGAGACTCACAGTTATCTTAATTAGAATAGAAACTTTATCAAGTTAAAAAGTGTAAAAAAATACAGATATATTTGAATAACTGAAAATCTTTTAGAAGACATAATCTAATAAAAGTAAATATCTTTCATTTAAAAAAAAATATATTTTAAGGATTATCAAAATAATGTTTTTTTTTATGATTAGTTTACCTTTTGTAATGGACTGGACGGTAAACTTATTTCTGTCAGACATACTTTGAAATGTGTACATAATAACATTGGATGCTATTAGATAAATAAGAAAATTTTTAATTAGTTAACTAATCAGTAAGAGATATCGTCAATTTTAAACACAAACATGAAGAAGTTAAAAGATTTTTAGTGAAACTTACCGTTCCAGATGTCAGACTGTTAAGCATTTCTCGTCCTTTTTCTTGTAATAAATTTTGACACGCCTTTTTATCTAAACTTTGTAAACGGGAACACATTTCTTGTTCGATATAACGAATAACATTGTCCTGAAAACAAACATGAAACATAATGCATGAAGAGAATATTAATTTTGATAAAACTTACTTCGCTATGTTTTGTTTCTAACATACGTTTGGCTATTGACGTCACTACTGTACATAATTCACATTCAACATCCGATGTTACCTAGGAAAAAATGAAAAGGTATCGACTAAAGTTAGAAAATCTTTTTCATCTCTGACATCGCTCTAATGTATTCATAGCAAAAAACCTCACAATCACTATCTAACAAGAAATCAGTATATACGAGGAAGCAAAAGCTTACCTGTCCTATTTGTTGCTCTTTCTCAGATGACGAATAAACAAGGCCACAAATTTTAGATAATTCCTATAATAGAACAACAATCTTAAGTGTAATTACAAACAAAAAAATAATAAAGTGTACTTACGACACGATTCATAACATGACGATAAATTTCGGATTGATAAGTATCCACTAATTTTACACACTAAAACAGATAAAACAAAATTATTAGGAAAAGCATACAAACAACAATTTCTATATTGGACACAATTTGTATTTTAAATATTAACTTTAACTAACTATTGCTATTCTATTTCAATGATTTATAAAAAGTTATATTTATGAATTACTTTTTGTACGAGTTCAATATTTTGTAATTTTTTACAATCATCTCTATTTAACATTTGAATTTCCTTTTGCTGTTTTCCTTCATTGAACAAATCTGCTGTGGCTCGTACAAGAACTGGACATAACATTTTTGTTTCTTCATCCAGAGATGATTTAATTTCTTGTATAGAATCTTCATCATTAACAATAACTGCAACTTTTAGTTGTTCTTTGATTTCTGTACGTGTTACTATTGTACTATCTTTACACATATGAACTAAATGACAGATAACACCGGGATCCTAATTAAAGAAATAAAAATATCGAATATCCGTTAGAGAATGGAGGAGAAAATACTCACCATATTTGTCCTTAATAATACTAATAATTGTTCAGAGTAATCTGTTAACATTTTAACACACTAAAATATACACAGAAAAAAAGTATATGAGGTTTTCAATTGATTTAAAAATCATTCTATTGATTGTGCTGCGTATAATAATATTTAAAAAATGTTAATTGTCTCTTGTCTTACTTGATCAATTAGTTCTTTTGTGGGTAACATTGAACAAGCACCGGCTAAATATTTATCCACAGTAATCTATATTAAATAATAATTTAATGATCAATTTGTTATTACAGATGTGTTTCATGCACTTACTTCTGTTTCATTAGTTTCAAGTATACGTCTTAATTTTGTTAGTGCAAATTCACAATATTGACAAATATTATCTTTTTCATTCACTAATTGGTTCGGCCATACTTTAGTTGAACAATGTTTCACACTTTGACATTCATGAGCATTTTGTAACGATGAACACCAGTATGATGGACCCCATGTACAACGTTTACCACCAACTAAAACTAAAAGTACAAAGATCAAGTTATTTATCATTTTTTTAACTTGAGGTAAAGTAAATAGTACGGCTTTTCTCTCCCTCTCTCCCTCTCATATTTTCTCAAAAAGTTTGACTACTCAACAGACATAAGATTTTACTTTGTTTTTGTGTTATTGATTCGGGTAGCTCTGGTTTTTGTTCTTGAACATCACATGCTTTCATAAGACGGCATAATGTATGAAAACGCTGATAACAGAGAAATAGAGAAGACGATGAATTAGTAGACTAATGTTAAAAAAACTATACTTACGTGATTTTTGAGTAATACTAATACAGATGGTAAATAAGTTGTCATGACAGTTGTACACTAAAATAAAAGAAACAATTGAATAATAAGACCTATAAAAAAAAATAAATGTTCTTACTTGTGCTGAAATAGTTGCATATGGGAATAGTTGACAACCATTCAATAAGGTGGATTTAACTAATGCCTAAAATAAACAGTAACATTTGGAAAACGCAATTAATGCAATTCATGTCATTTTGATTTCTTTATATTTGTTTTCTTTTGTTTTTTATTCTTCCACAAAAGAAAGTAAGAAATATGAGCCACATTCTTCCTTTTTAAAACTATCAATACTACTCTTTCGATAAAAGATGTCAAGCTTCGTCCGTAATTACTGTTCCACTTACATCATTATTTTCTATTAATCCAATAGCTTCAGAAGATTTTTCTAATATTTTTTTACACCAATCACATGTTGTTGATTCATCTTCACTTTCGTATTGTTGATATTTCCATACGGTATCTGTACAATGACGTAATGCTCCGCATTCTGATGCTGTTACAAATGTTTTACACCAGTATTCTGGGCCATGAGCACATTCATGAGGATAACCAAACGTAAAACTCAAACATAAAACTAAAATAGAGGTAAATTTTGAGTTTGACGTAAGCAAAAGTTTTATATATACTTTACTTACGAAAAAGGAGGCCGACGCTAATGGCCTTCAACATTGTATATCAGTCTACCAAGATCCGTTTAGAATTAAAAAATGAGACGAAAATATAAACAGAACAATTAAAGAAAGTATGTAGATAGTCGAATGAGTGAGTTTGATAAGGATGATTAAATCTAAAACAAAAAAAGTGAGAAATAACACAGGTCATAAATGTTGCTGATTAGTAAATATAGATGTAACAAAACTAGTCTGTACTACGAATTTAATATTGTTCATTTTATTAGAAAAAAAATATCACATTTTACAACTTTAAAATTAAAAAAGTAGAAAACTATGATATCAATGTATTATTCATATATGATATGAACAGCTATGTACAGAAATATACAGATCACAGTTACTCGAAATATACAATAAATAAATGTAAATTGAACTTTACTATAGTACGGAAGAAGAAGAAAAGTACGTTAAAAAAGAGATATCTGCTTAAAACTAAGAAAATAATCAAAATTTGATTTCTATCTATGTTTAAATGAGATTTTTCATGACCTTATCGTTCTGTAAAAAGTTTAGAAAAAAAACTAATATGATACGGTCTTTTCTGTCAGAAGATATTCTGTCATATGCGAATGGTTCTTTTCTCTTTCGATGATTAAAAAAATCACCGAGCTGAAGAAACTTGAAAAAAGTGGACTACTTCTCACTGTTGTTTCACCGGTACAAGATGATATTGGTCATCATCGATTTTTGTACATAATTTCAACTTTTCACATACTATGGTTGGATCTATAAATTCTGCAAGAAGTTGTTCTAATAATGGTCCGTACGCGTTAACTAATATTATACATTGTTTTTTTTCTTTATCCGGTAGTATTGTGCATACTTTGTCCAGAGCATCGACAATAGCTGCTTCCGATTTATTATCTTTTAATACATTATCCAAATAATTCAAGACATATTTACATATTGAACATTCTAAATCCGAGGCTGATAGTGAAGAAGGTGGTACTACAACTGAAGGTGAATTACTGTTGTTTTTGCATAAATTTAACCATTGGCAAACAACGTTTGGGTCATCTAATTCAGCTAATAATTCTACCAGAATTAGACCATAACTTTTAACAAACGTGTCACATTGTTCTTTCATTTTACCCGATAATATTGTGCAAACTAATTCAAGAGCTTTTTCAACAGCTTCAGCAGATTTATTTTGTTGTAATACGGTATCGATATAAGTGAGAACATAACGACATATTACACAATCTAAATCTTTATCAGCTGGCATTAATGGAAATTTACGTTCAATATGAGATGAATGATTTTCTTTTAAGGCTAAAATTCATGAGAAAAATTAAAGGAATTCTCAGAGATATTCTGTCACTTACTGAGTATTTTATCAGATGACGAACATAATTTTATCTTTTTACAGACACTGGGTGGATCAAAATCACGAACGAGAACACTGATTATAGCCGGACCATAAGAATCGACGAATAATCGACATTCCGAACGAATAGTTGTAGGCATTAATTGACAAACATATTCTAACCATTTCTCAACTTCACTTTCTGAAGAATTTTCCGATAAAAATTCTTGTAAAATATGGATAACAAATTCACACATTACACATGTAGTATTATCAGCTGCTACGGATGGAATAACAATTGCTGATGATGATGATAGACTATCATGACCTTGAATATAGGCACAAATTTTTGATAATTCCTAGACAAAAAGAAAATGAATAATTATCAAACAAATGCATATAATACAAAATGAAAACCTTACAGTTTTGGCAACAATATGACGATAAATATCAGCAGAGTATAAATCAACAGCTTGAACACACTAAAATAATAAAACAAATCAGAACTTAAACAAAGCTTAAATTAGAGTGTCGAATAGATTATTTTTATGTAAGTTTTATTCTTATAATTTCAAGTTAAAACATACTACATATTTCCGATTTTAGGCGTCAAAGTTTATTCGTTTCGAAGTGAACATCAACTTTCAAATCAACTCACAAAGACGAGAATACATTATATCCTTCAGAGTATTCATGCACAAAAAATGCTTAAAAAACTATTCAGAGTGGATAGTCACACACAGGGCATAAACTCACAAACAGTCTTCTCAGATCTATAAACTTAAGGTAACAGTTTAAAGAATCCTTGTTAGCCTTACTAGTCACTAGTCTACTGGCAAGAAGAACGTTCATATATTACTTTTTCTTGAATATCATTTCCAGTTAATTTCGTACAATCTTGTTTCATAAATTGTTTTATTTCCAGTTGATCATGTTTTCCATTTTGATTATATAACTCATTTGACAGACGTACTAACGCGTTGCATAGCATTTTAGGCGTGTCTACTAAAACTGTTGACTGTTGTTCTTTCCAGATATTTTGTTGACAATACTTTACTGCACCACATTCCAAAGCTGTCTGGTGGTTTATACACCAATACGATGAGCCATGTGCACATTCTGACGGATAACCATAGGCTTGAAAAACACCCAAGCACAGAACTTAAACAAAAGCAAAAAAACATTATGATTATATTCACTGGTTTTTGTACAAAAAAGTTAGAAGATACACGTTAACTATTAGTGAAAATCTTCGTCTAACAAGAACAACATACAAAATTTTTATTAGTCAGCATTGACTATTTAGAAAAGAATTGCTTTAGCCTATTGATACTTACGAAAAAACGAACTAATGAACAACATTATTGTCATCCAATAAAAAGAAATATTATTAAATTGTAATATTACTATAATATAACACCGATTTGAAAATAGTAATAAATAAGAATCCTTACAAAACCGCTGTTTTAGAACTTACCAAACTTCTGCCTCTATGCACACCTTATTTTATTGTTGAAACGAAATAGGCTAAAACTTCTTCTCTCTTTACATTCACATTTCATTTCAGTTGTTTACAAGATAAAAGATAATAGTTCTCCTTTTCTATGATATACACTCGAAACTTTTCAAACGAGAGAATAAAGCAAGTTAAAAATAAACAATGATGCATCCATCATTCGAAAAGCGAATAAAAATAGAATCATGAATAATAAAAGAATGTTATCTCTCTGCTCTAATTTTCAGTACAAGAAGAAAAACAAGATTTATACAATAGATGCCGACAGCACTGAGAAAGAATTCGATGCACAGTTAACTTAAAAAGGAATATAAAATGGATATAAATGAACAAATAAGCAACGTTCGACAAATGTAGTCTATAATAAAATCTAACAGATCTTTTTCAAAAAGAAACTAAAGTTCTGTTAAAGTCTTAGTCGATGTTGAGTAAGGAATATGAACTCAAACAAATCATGCTAACTAATTGTATTATTAAGCATCTGATGAGTTTATTGACTTGTACTTCACATACTCTGACTTAGTTGAATAATCAAGAAACATTCTCTATGCGAAATGCGAGACTTTTTCACGTGAACGATAAGTAGGGTAAAAATCGAATTATCATTATGTTTGCTAACCACAGAAATGCAAACTGAGATGTGAAACAATAAGTCATAAAACACTACAGATAATAGTAGATTACACATTTTTTTTACACGTAGATTACAAAGAAAGCGGATTGTTACAGCACAAAGGTGAAGATAATATAGCAGCTGTGACAGCACGCCAATGTTCATCTTTGCTTTGTAAAACACAGTTTGTATACAAGTTTTGAAACCACTAACAATAAAAAGAGAATTTTCTTTCTTAATTTGTCTGTTTCCAAAAGAAAAATCTGAATACTGCACCAAGAGAGGTCGCAGTTGTACGAACGGCGTCGGACTAGATTATTCTAAGAACTTTTTCTAAACGTATAGATGCCATCAGTGGAAAATTTCAATAAACGTTCATCAGAATGTTACCTCTGGAGTATCGCTCAGATACTGAAAGTCTTTTGCCCAAATCCGACTCCTATGATCCCGTTTCGCCGCGTATAAGATAAACAATACAAAGATAATTTTCATTCAAAGATATTCTCATAAAAAAGCGTTACTTTATAATTACATGTTAAAGTTTTTTTAGACAGGATGCAAAAAATGTTTCAGTTTCTAGCATACAATTCCCCGACAAAAAAATAAAGTTCATGAAAAATTGCGGAAAAGTGCTTTTGTATTCAGCACACTAGATAAGTCCGAAGATTTTTTATTTTATGGCGAGCGCATTGTCAAAAGTGTAGAAAAATGTTTCCATGAGAAAATAATACTAATTTCAAAATTTTTCCAAAGCTTTTGACAATACGTCTCGCCAAAAATTGAAAATCTTCTGGACTAACGAGTGTGCCGAACACGAAAAAGCACTTTTCCACGGTTGTGTATGAACTTTATTTTTCTGTCGGTGATATATTTTCATATTCAGTACACTCAATAACCCAGACTTACTTAACTTTTCTCACTACTGTACCATGACTGAAAGCTTTGATTCCACTGTAGTCTACTTGTGGTGTTAATTAAATTGAATATGATCTTACCATGATGTTGACATTTTTGCTTGAAATATCATTCTTCTTCATGTTTTCCCATGGTAAATGTTCTCCATAGATAATTAATATTTAAACCGGCACAACTGGAACAACTCATATTTGCGCTTCATTGTAATCACTCTTGCCATGCTGTTTGTTTGAGATCGATAAGCCATGTCGATGATACGAAGAGTAAAAATAAACGTATTACCTGCATTTCTTCATGGGCTTACGTTTTATAAATTTATTTTTATATTTTTGTTTTGGGCATGGTTCTATTTTTCTCATTTTTCCATACGATTAGAACATAATAACCATACATTTGTGTATGAAACACATTTTTTCTACTATCGAAAACTCTAGACAATTTTCTTTTATTTCTTTTTTCTTTCCTTTTTTCCCTATTTTTTAAGAAATAAAGTATATAGTCTATGTACTTTTTTTTTCTTATAGGCTCATGCTCGTTTGGCGTTGACATAGAAGAAAAAGAGTACATTTCGTATGAAGTAAAAGAAAACTGGCATGTTTTAGCACTAGAGTTGCGACAAATAGCGATTTTCTTTTCTTTTTTCTTTTCTTATTCACGTTATATATAGTGTGTGCTCACGTTGCAATGTACGGTACACATATATAACATACATTAAGACGGTTGTCTGTGTAGAGTGAGGTCACGTTTCCTTCTTTTCCTTAGTGTGTACGAACGTTTATAACGTTCGTACACACAACAGTCTTAATGTATGTTATATATGTGTACCGTACATTGCAACGTGAGCACACACTATATATAACGTGAATAAGAAAAGAAAATAGAAAAGAAAAAAGAAAAGAAAATCGCTATTTGTCGCAGCTCTACTGATGATCGACGATTAGTCATCATATGTGTGTTGTGACAATGAAGTAACAACATCACATATGTGGAGTATCCGATCGTATTATAGAATATTATAGAACTGGAATAAAAAGCAGTTAACTATCCGTTCCAAAGACATAGACTAAAACGTACCATGCTGCAGGCCGATCAATTTATTTTGAAACGATTTGCATGCAGTTTTTCTTTACAAATCGTTTCAGAAAAAATGTTCCTTACTATATCAAACGATAGACACTTTAATTCTCTACAAGATTATATATTCATCTTTAAGACTCATCTTTGATGTTTGGCACAGTAAGTCTAACAGGAAAAGCTCCAAACTTCTCAAGTTTACCTTCAAGAAATGGATCTTTTGCGCAGAACCTCGCTAAAAATCATTTGTTCAACAAAACAAGGTATACCGAAAAATTCAGCAAGAAATTTTCTACAATATGATGACTTTTTAATGACAAACAATGAGTTTTTAGATGAAGTCAGAGCGAAAAAGAGTCTTTAAGAAAGGTCATTTTCTCCTATTTTTCGGACATCTTACGAGCGTGAACGACAACCGGTATTTCCTACTTTTTCAGGTAAAAAAAGTAGCAGATTTATTTGTAAGTTACAGTCTAATAGAGCGCGAAATTCTACATGTTTTGGTGTATAAACTAATGATTTGAACTTTGGATTTTATACTGGAATAGTCAAAACTTCCTTTTAGTGCTAGAAACTTCGGTGGACTTGGAAGTTTATGTATTAAAGCCACTACCAATTGAAATAAGTTTCCTTCAAGTAAACGCTTTTGTAAAGCATGGGACTCTTCGCCATTTGACTGTAATAAAATTATTTCAAATATTTTTATACTCATTATAAGCAATTAAAAAAAGAGTGCAGTTTGCATTTTAAAACTGCGTCGTGCAGATTAGAAAATTTGGAGCTTTTTCTGTTAGACTTACTGTGCCAAACATCAAAGATGAGTCTTAAAGATGAATATATAATCTTGTAGAGAATTAAAGTGTCTATCGTTTGATATAGTAAGGAACATTTTTTCTGAAACGATTTGTAAAGAAAAACTGCATGCAAATCGTTTCAAGATAAATTGATCGGTCTGTACAATGAAAAGTTTGTCTTCGATATAACCCCTTGATTATAAGGGAAGTATTCTAGTTTCCACTGGTTATACAATGGATCAGTAGTCAAAACAGAGAAGCAATTTACGATAAACAGAAATTGGTAGAATCAGCTAATCAGTCAAGGAAGTATATTCAGATATCGATTATGGAGAATGTATTGAAGCAGTTTTTTTAGAGATCTGAGAGTTTTTAAAAAGTTCTCAGGGTGTGATTACTGAGTTGACTTTGATTGAAACTCTAAATGAGAGTGGCATCCGGTACCTAAAACTTTAAGAGGATCTTCCCAAAATTTTCGTGATGTTTGCTGGTTTTGGCATTTATAGCAAATTTGGCACTGTATTGGATCAAAAGCTAATGTTGTTCGACACGCACTTTGAACATATTGTGTTTCAACCTCGACGCCGTCAAGTCATGTAATAACTATGAGCAACTTACTCATGCACAGTGGGCATCCAGGCGGACATTAGGCAAAAATCGAAACTGCAAATTTTCCGGATCCGAAGGCAGTAGAATATACCACGACAGATGCTCAATTTAGCAGCATAAAATTTTTGTTCTAAGCGTCAAGGATCGCAAGAAAACACATAGTCAAAAATTAGCCTCAAAACGTATGGTGTTCGATCAAAAAATTTTTTTCACTGTTTCCAAGGTAGTTCTAACTAAAAATGACGCTGATTCTGAACATAAGCTCTTTTATCTATGTATTAATAAAGAAACTTTTTGTTTTCAACTTAAACGTGGTGAGAAATCACAGTAAAAATATAGAGGTTTTTTTCATAGTGTGAGTTCAAAGAATTTTCGTTTACTTGTGGTAGGAGAAAATAAATCCGAAGGTGTGGATGCGAAGAAGAGGTTTTGGGCCTGCTATCAGGGATAACTCGCCACATTAGGTATTC